CGTTGAAGGTTGGGGTATTATCGTCAACATCAGTCACCGCAAGGTACACCTGAGTAAGACATACACCATACCTTTGGGTTACTGCACTTGATTAAGATAGAGGCCATTACATAAACTTGCTGCTCCTTATTAGGACAGAAATATTATTACCAGGGGGCTCTCGTGGTCGAAAGGTTACGGTGTTTGCCTCATTTTCAATAGGTCCCGGGTTCGAATCCGGATAACGACGGAAAATTTTCCTCTTTCACCTCCTTTCCTGCTCTTGAACAACGTTCTGTTGTCTGCTTTCGTTTCCACTTTCTGCACCCACCGCCTACTTCCTTTGCCTCCTCCTCTGGGCTCCTGACTCTTTTTGCAGCCTTTCTACAGCTATTCCTTGGCTTCTTTTTACTGCTGTCTTTCAGCCACACCCCTGATCCTATAGTAGGTAAGATCTAATACCTAGCCTTCTCGGATAAGGGCTAAAAGTCTCAGAGGTCTCGTGTGGAAGTTCTGCGTGTAAAGATCTGGTCCAAAATCGATAAGAGTCGGCTTCGGCCGCCACCCGGGTAAAATTCAACATTTGCTACCAATTGAATAATGTCTAGTGTGCCCCTCGCTGTCATATAATGATCTATACAGTTGTGAGCGCCGTAAAACACTTACCAAAAGACATGTTACCACAGAATTACTGCACCTGATTAAGACAAATTACAATAGGATTACTGCACCTGATTAAGACAAATTACAATAGGATTACTGCTCCTGATTAAGACCGATTACCATAGGATTACTGCTCCTGATTAAGACAATAGAGATTCTTGCGGGCCTGCCTGCCTGTCAAGTAACGAGGCTTAAATTAAATTCTCTTTTCAAGATCTTTTTAGATATGTATACTTTTTAATGGAAGGCTCAGGCTGCTTAGCAATTCGTTCTAAAGATACCTCTCTGTCCACTTTGAGACGTACTGTGTTTCCGCCTTTTACGCACAAAAAGCCATTATCCACAAACACGCACATTCACACACACACACACACACACACACACACACACACACACACACACACACACAA